GCGCGCTGGCCAGCTCAGCGAGGATCGACTGCTGCTCGCGCCACAGCACCGCCGACTCCTCCGAGATTGCCGCCAGCTCGTCCGCCTCCATGTTGTCGAGCTGCACGTACGCGGCGTGCACCTCGGGGCTCGCGCGAGGCACGTCCTGCCGCCTGCGCCGCGAGGCCGCCGGCGTCAGGGGCGCCAGCGTCAGGGGCGGGAAGGCGCGGTCTCGTGCAGCGTGCTCGCGGCGCCGCGGGAGTGCGAGGGATGCGAGCACAGCTGCAGACGTGTCCTCTCGAGTGCCCGCCACAGCGCACGACACCCACCCTCCGCATCTACTCCTGACGCCTTGCCACCAAGTCGTCGAGGGCGCGCCGCACACCCGCCATCGACACCTATTCACAGCAGGAGGTGTGAAGAGACGCTGTTCACAGCTCGTCGATGAACTCGCACGCCCGCCACCGACACCTCGATCTCGCACCCACCGCCGCCGCCGCGGCCTCCCCCCCTGCCGCCGCCGCCCCTGCCGCCGCCGCTCATCCCTCCGCGCCCGCCGCCCTCTCCGACACCCTCCAAGCCCCTCCGCTCCCCCGGCCCTCCCTGCCCCTCCCCACTGCCAGCCGCGCCTCGCCCCTGCGCAGCGTCGGCCGCCTCCCGCTCCCTCCGGCCATGCCGCCTGCCCGCCCCCTGCGCCGGGCGCGGCTGCGGCGCCGGTGCGGCGCCGGGCGGCGTCATCCCCTGTGAAGGGCAGGGGAGGGGCGTCGGTGGAAGAGACTGCAAGGGGGCTTCGGCTCCCGTGGCGGGTTGGCGCGGGTGTTGGGTGTGGCGGTGCGGCGGGTGTTGTGTGTGTGTGTGTGTGTGTGTGTGTGTGTGTGTGTGTTGGTTGTGTGACTGGGTGTGCGAGTCGGAAGGTTCTCGGAAGGTTCGCCTGCGCCAGGTGGACGAGGGTGCCTTGCAGCTCGCGCAGCACCGCAACCTGCTCCTGCAGCGGGTTGTGCTCCCCCTCCTGCCGCTGCGGCACCTGCGGCGGCGTCATCTCGGGTCACCTGGCTGAGCTCGGCTGATACTCGGGTGAGCTCGGGCGATCTCGGCTGACCTCGGCGCGATCTCGGGTGATCTCGGACGATCTCGGGTGATCTCGGACGATCTCGGGTGATCTCGGACGATCTCGGGTGATCTCGGACGATCTCGGGTGATCTCGGACGATCTCGGGTGCTCTCGGACGATCTGCGGCGCCTGCGGCGGCGTCATCTGCTTTGCGCGGTTTGCGTACTTGAGCGTGTTGAGCGTCTCCTCGTACCTGCCCACAGCAGTTAATTAACAGCTAATTCACAGCTAATTAAGAGATAATTAAGTCTCCTCGTACCTGCCCACAGCCAGAGCCGTGAAGAGACGCTGTCCACGCGAGGGCGTTGAGGGTCTCGTCTCACTGGTCCGACGACGGAGAGACAGCGCAGAGCATCGCGGCGACAGACGTGCCCGAGAGCGAGTCCTGACGAGGGAAGACGCTCGCGTGGGGGGGGCGAGCGGCCGCAGCCAGAAGGCGGGGTGCGTTGCAGGACGCTCCTTGAGGAGGCGAGTCAGCTTAATTAACAGTTAATTAACAGCTAATTGAGAGATATTGCAGGAGTTGCTCCTTGAGTAGGCGAGTCAGCTTCGAGTCGCGGTACGGCACGTGCGCGCCTATGCACCGCCCATGCCGTCTCACACCTCTCGATGCGCCGAGTCGTGGGGACGGGTCGTGCGCCGCGCGCGCCTGTGCACAGAAGCACTGTCTGGCCGCTGCTCGGCTGTCTCTAGTCGCAAGAGGACGGCGCGCGCCCTTGCGCGTGCGGTCGGCGAGGGCGTTGATGCAGTTGGCAAGGGAGAGGAGGGAGCGGTTGATGTTGCGCCCCTCCACGAGCCGCTGCCCGCGGTTGTCGGTCTTGTACGCTCTCTCGGAGCCGGCGAGGTCGATGAGCGACATCTTGGCGAGGCGCCGCTTGGAGCCGCCTCCCTCTCCGTACCGCTGCACGGCCTTGACGGTGACCTGGAGGACGGCGTGCGAGCGGGAGGAGACCTCGTTGCAGTTGGTCGCCTCGGTCGTGCGGTAGACCGAGCCACGCTGCATGTGCTCCATGATCTCGGCGGCCGACCCGACGGCGAGCTCGACGGCGCCCTGGATGTGCGTGCCGTGCTTGGCGTCCTCCCTCACCTCGAGAGAAGAAGAAGGAGAAGATATGTGAGAGTCAGGTGCAGATTTAGGTGCCGTGCCTCGCGTCCTCCCTCACCTCGAGGTCTGCCTGTGAGTCCGGGTTGAGCAGGTCCTTGACCTAAACAATATCAATTCGAACCTCATTTAAAGAAGATGAAGACTCCGGGCTGAGCAGGCCCTTGACCTTCTCGTTGTAGATCTCGACGTACGAGACGCCGAACTTGTAGTCGAAGTCGTCGTCCCGCAGCGCCGCCGCCATCAACTCCTCCACTGCCTCCGGCATCACGCCCGGCTCCTGCGGTGCGGGAGAGAGAGAGAGAGAGAGAGAGAGAGAGAGAGAGAGAGAGAGAGAGAGAGAGAGAGAGAGAGAGAGATAGAGAGAGAGAGAGAGAGAGAGTGAGAGAGAGAGAGAGAGAGAGAGGTGTGGGAGGTTGGACGAGCGGGAACTTCTTCCTCTCTTCTACTATTGCAGGCCTGCGGCTGGCCGAGCATCGTGTGCGTCTTGCCGGAGCCCGTCGCGCCGTATGCAAAGCAGGCGCCGTTGTAGCCGTCGATCACGGCGGTGACGACGCGCCGCACCAGCCGCGCGTACACCTCGCTCGAGCCGCTCTCTGGGCCGAACGCCGCGTCAAACTGGTACGCGTGGTCGTTGAACTGCTGCAGCCGGAGGTAGTCGCGGCCGCCCATCTTCTCGTCCGGGTCGCGCGCGAAGACCTTGTTGCCCTCTGTGACGGACAGGCAGTCCACCGCGCCTCGGGCCGACTCGGCCGCCGAGAGCGGCCTCACGCGCACGCCAACCATGAGACGGTGGTCGTCTGGCCCGCGAGGCGACGACGCCTCGTCGATCGCAGGCGCCGCACGCACGCCCGGCCGGCTGGCGCTGCTGCGAGGGCGAGTGCGCGGCTTGCTCATCTTCAACGCTGCCCCAAAAGAAGAAAGCCGTCGGCTACATGTACATGTAGATGTAGCCCAACAAGTCAGCAGTGCAGCTTCGGGTATTTTCGAGCCGCAATCAATGTGCTAAAAAAGAAATGTGCGCGGCTGAAACCGACACCGGTGAACGGATGGGCCGTGGGAACACACACATTATGCCCGGCTCCAGCAGCCTGCAGCCCGACCAGAACGCTCGCCTGCGAGAGATCTTCGACGCTCTCGGCGACCAGGCGACCGCGCGCGCTGGCCGTGCCTCTGCCGCCACGCATCTAGGCAATCAGGCTCCACCCGCTCCTGTAGGTGGGAGGCCTGATTGGCATTGACGGGGTTGGGACCGCGCTCCAGCTCTTTGGCCTCGAGCTTCCCCCGGAGGAGGCGGATTCGCTGCCCCGCACAAGCCTTTACCCGATTGCCTCTGACCTCAGCTGCTGCGTTGCAGGTGGCTGACCTCGTGACGGCGATTGCACCCACGCTCCGTGCGCTGCCGCTAGTCACTATCTCGCAGACCCACGACCCTGCAGCTGCTCCTGACTCCCGCCGAATGTTCAGGCAAGCTGCGATTTGAGGAGTTTGTGCACACCATTCTCACACAGCCGACACCGGGCACTTCTAGCGAGGAGGAGATCGCGGCTATCTATGACCTGTTTTCGCAGCAAGGAGTCGTCACGGCTACGTCCGTGCAGGCTGCTATGGAGGCTCTCAGCCAGCCGGTGCCGCCGCAGCGCACCCCCGCTGCACACCATAGCACACACGATAGCGTCTGGGCCTTGGGACAGGTCTCGGCTTTGCTCGCTACCGACATCGTTCGCGAGGCTGACCTCGACGAGGACGGGGTCGTCAGCCGCGACGACTTTAGCCAAGCAGCTTTGCAGTGATGTGTTGGTCAGAGTCAGTGGTTTGGGGTGCTTTCTCTACAGCGGTACCGACAGCGTGCCAGCTACCGCACACGCATATGAAAGTGGAGTGTTTGAGCGTGCCGTTGAACATATGCAAAATATATACAAGAGAGATATTATACACAGTACGACACACCCCCCGTGTGACACGTGAACGAGCGGGGCACACGCCGACACGCGACACGCGCCTCGCGGCCCCCCCCGGCAGCGTGCTGCTGGCGCGCGCGCACACACCTTCCGCTTCCTCTGGCAGGCGTGGAGACGCGAGGGTTGCCCCCCCTTGCCCCACCACCTCGTGTGTGTGGAGAAGTTTACCTTACCTTACCTTACCTCTGGCAGGGACGACCTGGCAAGCCCGCATCGTCGGTGCACCCTCCTTCGCCCTGGCGAGACGTGCAGGCAGCGGGCTGCCAGAGCTGGCAGAGGCAGAGCGGGTGAGACCGCTGGGCGCAGCACGAACGAGAGCCCGCCCAATTTTTCTCTTTTTTCTCTTCGTATTGAGAGGGCCTTTTGTTTTTAATCGGATGATCCCTCATCGGATATCAGGACAGAAAGCACCCTAAACGGCACGCCGCCACCACAGCACACAGGGTCACAGCTCCGTCAGTGCTCAGTCTCACACAGGCGACAGGGTCAGGGAGAGAGACGTGTACGGGCTACGGCTTTTTTCAAATGCCGTATCAAAATTCTTTTACTTTTTTGGTGTAGAGCCGTACCTGTGCGGTGTGTTAGTGCCAGTGCGCGCCCGTAAAGAGAAAGAAACAAAACAGAGAACGTCTGCGCCTCTCCTCGACACAAGTGCACTGTGGCACACATCCAGCCTGCGCGCACCTGCCCCGGGCCAGCACAGAGCACAATATTCACAACACAAGTCCCGGGAAGAGTCGGTCCGCGCCTTGGCAGCGCCGCTCGGACGAAGCGCATGCCACCGCGCCACACGTTGCAGACCACTCTTCAACCCCCACCCTCACGCCCACAGACGGTCAAGACAGACGACAGCCCCTCCTTCCGACGAGGCACACTCCATGCCAGCCGCGAGGGCCCCACAAGCCTAGTCCTCCTTCTTGTCTGCCGCTGCACTGCCGCCTCCGCCTCGACTCCCCTCTCCTCCCTCTCCTCCCCCTCCCCCGCCCCCGCCCCCACCCCCGCCGCCGCCGCCGCCGCCGCCCTTGCCCAGCTCCTTGCCCAGCTCCTTGCTCAGCTCCTTGCGCAAGCTCGGCCGAGGCGGAGGCGCCTCGAGCATCTGCAAGGCGGCGGCACGCCTCGCGGCGGCGTCGCCCTCGAACTGCTTGCGGTACGCCTTAGAGAAGACCTCGATGTAGTACGAGGAGCCGTTCCAGACGCAGGCGAGGTAGATGCCGAGGAGGTAGGCGAGGTGCAGCCAGTAGTGCGACCAGAGGAGCGGGACCGGCAGCAGCGCGACGCACGTGTAGAGCAGCTGCACCGCGATGAAGATGAGCTTGGTCTTCCAGCGGTCCGCGTCGAACATCTCGCCCGGCCGCATCACGCCGACGGAGCGGAGCACGTCGTGCGTCACGCGGGTGAGGCCGCTGTAGTCGCCGTTGGAGCCGGGGCTGGTGAGCCAGCGTATCGACGTCATCAGTGCAGGGTCATCGTGCAGTGCGCGTGCGAAGAGCGCCTCCGTGACCAGGACGTAGAAGAGCTGCCAGGCGCCATACGAGAGGACGCCGAGCCGCATCGTCGTCCACGCGGAGATGGAGTCCGGCAGCTCGAGCCCGGCGGGCGGGTACCAGCGCGTGCAGAAGAGCAGCAGGGCGGGCAGCGCGTGGATGAAGACCGACGTGATCTTGTCGAGGGAGTGGAAGACGAGCGAGTTGCGCCACGTGATGATGGCGAGGGCGAGCGGTCCCGAGGCGTGCGCGAAGTTGGCAACGACGAGCGGCTGCAGCTGCGGGTAGGCGAGAACCTGCACAAGGCAGGAGACGTTGGCCATGTAGCAGAAGTCGATGAGAAAGTAGTGCCAGCGCAGGCGGGAGTAGATCCACAGCCGCAGCCCCAGCAGCGGCAGGATGAAGCCGACGTACCACCACGCAAAGCTCCGCGGCCGGACCAGGATGGCAAACTCGATCGCCGCGACTCCGACGACGCCGAGCATGAACGAAACCTTGTCGCGCAGCCGGACGATCGGCGGCTCCTCCATCCGCGCCCGGATGTGGTCGCGGATCTTCCGGTCCTGGTCGCCCGTCATCTGCTTCCGTATCCTCCTGCGGAACGCCTCCTCTTGCTTTTTGACGACAGAGGGCAGACGCGCGCGCCTCGTGACGAGCTCACGAAGCGCCTCTCGCCGCGCGCGCATGGCGCGCAGGCTGCCCGTCACGTAGGCGGGGTTGCTCTCGCGAGCGACCATCAGATGCTCGCCCGTGAGCACGGCTGTCGTCGCCTGTCCTTTCTCGACTGTCTGTTGTGCGTCTTGGGACCGCGCGGTTTGCGAGCGGCTGCTAGCAACAGGCGCGATGGGGAAAAGGCTGGCGAGTACAGGCCACGCCTGCATTCACAGCACAAGCCCTCGCCGGGGGCTCGAGCATGCGCAGCGAAAAGCAGGCGTGCGGCATGCGGAGCTCCCCACCGGCGGCGGGCTTGAAGACACTGAGCCGAGCGAAAAGGAATTCAAGAATAAAAACTCCGGGGAACTAAATTCGGAAGGCGCGGTATGGTCGCGGTGCTCTCCCCGCGACTCCCCCGACGGCAGAAATGCTCGTCACCTGCCGGCCGAGCGGCTCGCCGCGCTACACGACCGACCAGATGGTTGAGCGCGCCGCCACCATCGCCCACTCGCCCGACGGCTTCCTGGCCCTCTGTCTGGAAAGAACTGGCACTCTCCGCCTCCAAGAAGAAGGAGGAAGAAATCCTGCAGAAATTGTTTTTCAGCACAGCGGCTAGTGCGACCCCCCAGAGCAACCGAGGTTCTCGAGGTGGATATCCTTTGGCCGCGTTGGGTAGCGAGGATTGGTGTGACGCGATCCACGCAGGCGTGTTGGCCGACCGTCAGTGCACGGAGTTGCCCCTTCTCCGACTGCCCCGGCTAGTTCCCGAGGTCGTCGGGTGTGACCCCTGCGTCCCCCGAGACCTAGCGCGGGTGGGTTGGAGGGGGCTCGCTGCAAGGAAGGGCGGTGTAAGAAGCCGATCCCCGTAGTCCGCCCCACTCCTCCCCATCGGGCCGCATAAGGTTATCATAAGCGGCCGCGCCTCGCAGATTCTGCCGCCTCTACTCGCCGAAATTTGATATGAAACAAGAAGGGAACACACACATGACGCCGCACACACACACGCACCCCGCACCGCACCCCTCTCCCCGCGCCCTAAGCCCTTTCCGTTTTGGGGAAAGATAAGAAAAAAGAAACAATTAAACGCGGCCGCACAGCGGCTAGTGCGACCACCCACTCACCGAGGCGAGCTTCTCCGAGAGCTCATGAGCTCTTGGTACACGCCCTCGTCGACTGACCCTCACCGAATATCAACATCGCACCCCGGCCTTTTGACCGCGATCTCACCGCCGCTGTCTCGTTGCCCTCCCGGCGGCCGGCGCAGGCGCCTCGACCAACGATCATGCCCGCCACCACCGACCAGCTCCTCGTCTTCAGCGACGCGAGCGAGAGCGAGAACGACGGGTGGGAGCCTCCCGCGGCCCGCAAGAAGCCCGCGCCGGCCCGCAAGAGCGCTCCCGGCAAGAGCGCAATCGCCAAGTCCGCCAAGACGAGCGGCGTGCGTCGGCCACAGCGGCGTGTGGCGGTGGCCGCGAGTGCGTCGAGCGACGAGGAGGACTCGGCCTCGCAGGACTCGGTCGCGAGCGGTGACACCGGCGCCCTGCCGCCCCGCCGCCCCTCACCTCCCAAGGCACAGCGCCACTCCATTCCTGACGCGCGCCCTCGCCCGCGGCGTGCGCAGACGGCGGGGTCGACGCCGCGTTCCAGGTCCTCATGCGCAAGCTCGAGTCGCAGCAGAAGAAGGAGGGGGAGAAGGCGCGGCGCAAGGCCGACGCCGAGTTTGAAGCGATCCGCGCGGCCAAGTACGACGAGGCGGATGCAGATATCCGCGAGTTGAAGGGTGATCGCCGCGCCCGCGGCCCCACGCGCGCCACGCGCCACTCACCCGTGCATGAGCCACCTGCCCACAGATGAGTTTGCTGCGAAGGCGAGCCGTGTGAGGAGCGTGCTCAAGCAGTGCCAAAAGGAGATCGAGAGGGCCAACGAGCTGGAGGAGAAGAGCATCCGCGAATATCGAAACCAGGCGGCGCACACGCTCAAGGAGTTCGAGGGGCATCTGCGCGTGATCGAAGAAAAGAAGGCGAGCGTCACAAACCTGATCAACACGGTGTGCACCAATCACAAGAAGAAGGTGGAGACGACGGTGGTGCGCGCAACGAGGAGCATCACCGCGGCGCGCAAGTTGCGCTTGGACGATCGTCTCGCTCCCGTTCGTTCGGTCCTTGCGAATGTTGTCAAGAACCTCACTCAGGACCTGGCGAAGCTGTCTTGAGCCGCACGAGACACGCCCGAGGGCAGCGCGCCTCGTGCTGCCTCCAAATGTGCACCGGACTCTGAGACGGGACGGAGAGAGTGCGCGCGAAGTGGCTTCTCGGACTCGCGCCACCCCAGAGACTGAGTACGGCGCCCCATTGCGCCACGAAGAGCTGACTCTCTCGTGTCGATTTGTATCCGAAGCTTGAAGAGCGCCACTGTCCGCGCCGGCTTGTTTGCGACACGCTTGGAGCGCGGCGCTCCATCCTCTCCTGCGATCTGCGCGGCGGGGTGGACCGGTGTTTTGGCGCTTTTGCGTTTTGCATGGAGCCCATGGTTTTGGCGCTTTTGCTCATGTCCCACCCACGCCAAGGAATGATTAAGCGGAGTGATTACACAAGAGGAGCAGCGCCGAAATGGATCACGGCACGATCTTTATACACACAGCACGGCACATCAGCTTGAGTATTGCGAGCTATCCCGCGCTGAGCTGCGCTTGCTTCGTTAGGCGACTCAGCCCGCTGACCCGGGTCTGATCTCTGATGTCCCCCGACACACACCCGCCCCCTGTGCCCTGCGCCGTCAGCGACCACCGGGGAGCGGCAACACTACGCTGCATCTAAATCTCACAAGGATTCGTAGAGACCATGCCAGGCGCGGTCGCGTGACGCACCCAAAGGCGGTTGCCGCTCGAGGTCGAGCCACTCACTCGAGACTGAGCTGACTCGCGACTCGTGAGCCAACCCGGGTGCCGGCGAGCATCCCTCGCTTGATAAGCCGCCATTGGACAAGCTCTCTTCAGCGGGCCCGGGGATTGCGCAGCACAGAGGCGTTTCGGAGACATCGAGGTCCAACACAGCCACCTGCGTCACCGTTGGTGCCGCGTCCGCTCCACGCAAACGAACCTTTCTCCCCGTCGCAATATCCGGGCCCTTGAGAGCACGGGTGGGCGCCAATGGGCGCGCGGCATGCGAAGCGTGGCACGCCAATGGGCGCGCGGCGTGCGAAGCGTGGCACGTGGGCCCTTCTCGAAGCCGCTCGCCCGCCTTGGTGGCCGCGTCGCCAGGTTCGCTGCATACACCCTCCCTCAGCCCCCCCCCCCCCCCCCACACCGTTTTGTTTTTTTTCGCGTCGCCATCCGCGCGGGCTTTTCGCTTTAACCTCTATGGACTATGGATCCGTGCGGCGGGTCGCAGGCCCTCGGGATGTAGGTGGGAGCACCAAAAAGGCCTCCGTCTCGACGAGCACCCAGCCGCCGCAAGGGAGGGCTGGCTGCTAAGACTTGCCACTTGCTTGGGGGGAGGAGGAGGAGGAGGAGGATGTTAGGGGAGGGAGGGAGGGAGAGAGGGGTGGGGGGAGTGGAGAGAGAGGAGAGAGAGGAGAGTGGAGGAGAGGAAGAGAAAGAAGAAAGGGCCCTCGGATTCGCTGGCAGCGCTCACGCTCCCCGACTCTCTCTCCGCAAGCTGCTGTCTACCAGCTGCCCCGCGTTTACTTATCTTTATGAGCAAGCTCGAGGTGGCGGCGAAAGACGGCATCGTGAGAATCCCAAAGTCTGTGTTCGAGTCGGCGCCGGCTGAGGTATCGTCGAGCAGCGACGTTGTGGCAAAGGTGCGGCGGCTCGATGGAACAGTCGATGAGCTCAAGCGTGTGACGCCGGACAACCCCAACTTTCAGCCGCGCAAGCCGACGCCCGGCAAAGTCAAGGCCGTCAACAAGGACGAGGCGCTCATTGCCTTCTACACGCGCAAGGTGCGCGCGCACCGTCTCTTACTTTTGCCACGCGAAGCCCGTACCCTCCTTCCCCAGCCGCAGGGCATGCCGCTTCCTGACGAGCTCAAGGCGAAGGCCGAGGCGCTGAGGGAAGAGGAGGATGCGGAGGCGAGGCGGGTCGCCGAGCGTGCGAAGCGGTTCGGGATCACGCCGGCTGCAAAGCCGGCCGCGGCGCAAAAGGGCAAGCGGGGGCAGCCTGCGCAGGAGAGCGCCGGCGCGTCGCTGACGGAGGAGGAGCGGGCTGCGCGCGAGAAGCGCGCGAAGAGGTTTGGCGCCTCTGTTGGCGGCTCGGTGGGCGGCGGGGGCGGTGCGGCGGGGGCGTGCGCCCCAAGGAAGGAGCGGCCAAAGGGCGGGGTGAAGGTGCTGAGCGGGGTGGAGGGTGCGATGGCGGCGGCGGCGCCGGTTGGGTGAGAAGGGCGGTGGAGAGGCAGAGAGAGGGAGAGGGGCGGCGGGAGAGGGAGCGAGGGAGGGACAGCACCGCCCGGCCGGAAATCGGCGCGAGACGGCGTGAGCACAGCAGCACACGCGGCGTTCAGGGGTGAGGATTTGAGAGCCCTGGTGTGCCTGTGTGTGTGCGTCCTGCACCGCACGCGCTAGCGTGCGGATATTAACACGCCAATATGCTCGTTAATCTTCCGAGTGAATCTTCCGAATAACGAAAACTTGTAACACCGCGCGCGCCAGCCAGCGAGAGCGTGGTTCACTCGTCCTTCCTCTTCTCCGCTGCGGCCGCTGCCGCGCGGGCCGAGCCGAGCCAGAAGGCGACGAGCGAGGCGTACACGAGGGCGGCGCCGGAGGCGACCCCTCGCAAGCCGGCGGCGCGGAAGAGGCCGACGCCGGCCGCAGGCGACACCATGCCGGCGAGGGCAAATGCGGCGTGTTCTGCGCCGACCAGTGTGCCCTTGAGGCGGGGAGGGACGGCGGCGGTCGAGAGGGCGGTGAGGGTGGTTGCGAGCGGGAACTGCGCCAGTGAGAGCGCGAGCGAGAGGCCAAGGAAAGGGAGGGCGCCCAGCTGCGGCGCAGAGGCATCTGGCGCGTATGCAGCGGCGAGGGCGGCGTAGCCGGCGACCATAGCGGCGAGGCAGCAGCCGACAGTGCGGCGTGCGCCTCCGAGGGCAGAGGAGAGGTGTCCGAGGGCGAGGCCGACGAGGGCGTTCCCGAAGAAGGCTGCCGACATGACGGCTCCTGTCCGCGGGGGCGGGAGTCGGCATTCTCGCCTCAGAGGCGGACGGGTGTCTCTTGCTGCGGGCGGGCATCGAGCTCCGCTAGTCTCCGCTAGTCTCGGCTCGGCTCGGCTCCTCTCGGCTCGTCTCGGCTCGTCTCGGCTCCTCTCGACTCCTCTCGAGTCGTCTCAGCTCCTCTCGGCTCCTCTCGGCTCCTCTCGGCTACTCTCGGCTCGTCTCGGCTCGTCTCGGCTCGTCTCGGCTCGTCTCGGCTACTCTCGGCTACTCTCGGCTACTCTCGGCTACTCTCGGCTCGTCTCGGCTCGTCTCGGCTCCCTCGGCACCGAGCCCGGCCTGGTCGAACGAGAAGAGCTCCTTGAGCACGATTGGCCGCGCGGCGCCGACCGCCGAATTGGCGACGCCGCTGGCGAGCTTGGTCAGCAGCAGCGGCCACACAGCAGGCAGGATCTGCCCCATGCGCGAGAACCAAGAGCCCGCAGGAGGCGCGTCCTTCTTTCCCTGGTCGCTGCCCGCGCCGTCGCCCGCCTCCTCCGCCTCCTCCTTGTCGACGGCGGCGGGCAGCAGGAGCACTAGCAACGCCGCCAGCAGCGAGCCCGCCACCGCAAGCGGCGCGGCCACCTCGTTGCCGATCCTGCCACCCACCGCGGGCCCGACCACGCCGCCGAGAGTGTAGGCGGTGGTCAGGCGGCCAAGCGCGCCCGCTCGTGCCGGCCCGGCCGGCGTCAGCTTGGCGGCGGCGGTCTGTGCGCACAGGAAGCCCGCCATGAAGAGCGTGGGCACCTTGGACGCGTAGAGCCCGGCCATGCTGCTCGCCTGCCAGAGCAGCCCGTAGGACGCAGCGCACGCGACAAAGTTGAGGGCAAACAAGGCGCGCAGCCCAATCACGTCGGCGAGGCAGCCGACCAGAAACGAGCCGACGGTCTGCACACAGTTGAAGAAGGTGCGAAGGCTCGCGTACTCGGCAGCGGCGTCGGCGTTGGCCTCGGACAGCTGAGCGACCAGGAACGGCTCGATCGGCGACTGGAGCTGGTAGCAGAGGGCGTACACCACAACAAGGGCGTACACGATGTGGAGCGGCTGCTGGCTCGCAGTCGGCATGGCAGGGAAACTCGAGTTGGAGCTGAGGAAAAAGAATTTTTTTGTGGGAGGAAAAAGAATTTAATTACCGCGCGCAATTCTTAATCGGCTGTCAGACGCCATTCACAGAAAGACGAAACAAAAACGATGGTGAGAGACGCCAACCGACGACCGACGACGACCGACGCGACGACGACGACCGACGCGACCGGGGCAGTCGGAGAAGGGGCAACTCCGTGCACTGACGGTCGGCCGCCAGCAAACACGCCTGCGTGGATCGCGTCACACCAACCCTCGCTACCCAACGCGGCCAAAGGGTATCCACCTCGAGAACCTCGAGAGCTTTTTTAAGAATTCTTACCGCCTTTTGTGGTGCTAGTCCGTGCCAGTCTGCTGTGCGAGGGGCTTGTATTGTAGAATTCAACAAAACAACTCTCTCGCACAGCACACAGGTTCAACACAGGTACCAAAAGAGGCACAGGCCGGCGACGGACCTTTAGGCTTAGAAGGCGCCGTCGTCCTCATAAACAAAGGTGGGCACGACCGGGGGGACAGTCGAATCCGCGAGCACCGTAGTGCTCGCCGAAAAGACCATCATCCCCATCATCCCAACCCCCCCCCGGCGACCCCCTCGCCGCTTGCCCCGCCAGCCAGCGGGCACTGCGCGACCCACCCCCGCGCCCTCGACCGCGCCCCCCGCCAGGAGCATACCGCATCACCTCCGCCCGCGCCTCGTCGAAGAGCAGAATCTCTCCCGCCTTCACCGCCTCCTTCCACCCCTCCACGTACCTGCCTTCGTTTTCTGCAAGCACATGCTTTGATGGCCGTGCATTCTTACCGTCTCTCACGGCTAGGCCGAAAGAATTCTTGCCGGCTGACTCAAAGCGCCGACAAGATCCGACAACCATTGGCTCAGATTGGCTGCCTTCCTCGCCTCTCAGCGCGAATGGAGGCGGACGATAACACCCCGCCCGACAGGGAGGACAGCACTCAGGACGACGGCCTCCTCGACGTCGGGCAGACGCTCGGGCACTTCGAAGCGTGGCTCGCCAAGCGGCGCCGCCTCTGCGAGGGGGCGCTGGCCAAAGCCGACGAGTTTGCGGCGGCCGCGGCGCGCCAGGTTGCCTCCCTGCCGCAGGCCGCGCAGGCCGAGTCCTCGGGCTGGGTGCTGCAGGCGCTGTGGCCATCTGGCGAGCGCGTCGTCCCACTCTTTGTCGGCGTCGCGGCCACCGCCGGCCGCGGACCGGCCTCGGCGCTCGCCATCCCCCACCCGTGCGTCTCGTCGGTGCACCTGTCCGTGTGTGTGGAGAGCGTCTCGCCCTCGCTGCGCGTCACGATCCGGGATGGCTCCGCCGCCGGCCACTCCTCCAACGGAGTCTACCTCGGCGGCAAGCGAGTGGTGGGCGAGCTGCGGCTGGGCGCGGAGGAGGTTGGCGCCCGGTGGGGAGACGAGGCGGCCGAGGAGGCGGGCGACATCACCCTCAACATGCGCACCCGCGACCAGCTCGCCGCAAAGTACGGCGGAGCGGTGCCGCGGCTTCGGCTGCGGCGGGTGCGCGGCTCGCTCGAGGCTTCGCTGAGCGCGATTGCGAGCCAGGCGCGTGCGAGGGCGGAGGAGCGGCTCGCAGCCGTCGACGCGGAGGCGGAGCGGGAGTGGGCGGAGCGGAGGCGGGAGGAGGGGGAGGAGGAGGACCGCAGGGGACGGGAGGAGGCAGGGGAGGAGGAGGCAGAGGAGCCAGCGGCGGCGGAGGCGGCAGCGGGGGAGGAGGCGGCGGCGGGGGAGGCGGCGGCGGCGGGGGCGGAGGCGGCGGGCGGCGGCCTTCCCTGCTGCCGCTGCGGCGTCGAGATAGCGCGGGCCACCGTCACGCGAGCGACAAAGAACAAGGGGCGGGAGTACTTTCACTGCGCGATCCGAAGGCGCGACCGCGCCTTGGCGAGGGACTTGGCGAGGGAGGGCGGTGGCGTGGGAGCGATTCGCAAAGCCTTCCCGGAGCCTTCTCCCACTAGCGGAGCCTTCTCCCACTAGCGGAGCCTTCTCCCACTAGGTGCGGCCTCTTCGTGTGGGCGGACGACCCGGCGGGCCTCGCCGCCGCCTCCTCCTCCGCCGCCCCCTCCCCTGCCGCCTCCGCCGCCTCCGGCGCCGCCTCCGCCGCCGCCTCCGCCGCCACCTCCTCGGGCGCCTCCTCCGCACGGCCCGCTCCGACGCTCGAGGTCCGGTCTCGGCGGCTGAATGAAGTGATTGCTGATGGATGAATGAGCCGCCCCTCCTGTTCCTGCACAGGACCGATCTCGGGGCGCGGCGACTCCCTCGCCCTCCGAGCTCCACGACCCCCCTCGTAGAAAGAGGCAGCCGCTGGCTCGACGAGGACCACACATTCGGCCGTCTCGTTGCACCGGCCGCCGCTGTCGCGGCTGTCGGGCTCCGCGACAGCCGTCCTCCACCGTGCCGTCCTGGCTGGGCTTCTATTGATGAAGAAGGTGCAAAAATGGCTACGCCGCTTTTGTCACCCCGGAGCATGTTTTGATAAAAGGCTCCGTCGACGAGTCGGCGAACTCACCATTTTATTTTCGAGTTTACGTCTCCTCACGGCTATCTCGACCCTGCGCGCGGGATCTG